GGAGGGACTGAAGAAAACCACAAAGAATCTCACTCAAGATAACCGGCCTTAAGACCAAGATTTTAAACCCAAATCTCCCGAATGCTGGCCATTCGATAGCTACGTGTTGTGGGATAATATTAAAATGCATCTTAGAACTATAATGTAGAGTTTGTTGATTGAGGAAATGTCATAAAAATTTGAAGATCAGTTTTCAAGAAAGACTTATTTACTCCACGAAATAAGATGTATATTTTGATTTCTGAAGTTCTGCTATAGCTCGCTGTTGCTCGCAGAGGTCGCTCTGGCTGTTGCGCTGCCTAGGTGGTACTTGATTCATGTAACACAGAGCGGGGCCTGTACCAGACTTCGAGTATACGGCTTTGTTTGTTAATTGCAGACATTTATTGTGCGTCATAAATTACAGCATACACGTGAAACAATCGTATGCCCGTTTCCGATGTAGGAACCTCTCAATAGTACGTCCGAATATCAAGGACGCATTTTTAAACGAATTTGCTTGCTCGGTTTATGAAAACCTTTACTTCTGATGGTTATATCATTCTGTGTGACAATCTAATTCCAACGTATTTGAATAGTTTAGTAGGCTGACGATAAAGTTGATTTCAGATTCAATTTAAAAGCACATTTGTATGCATATGGGATACACGGCGGTTAGCACACAACTGTGTTTGATTCTTACAATAAACAGTTATTGATTCCTAAAACATTAAGAGACTTATCTTTGGATCGGAATTACGATGTATTTCTTTGAAGGAGGAAAAGAAAAGGGTTCATTGGTAAAGTATACGCAGTACTCCAGTGAGGATGAAACCAAGCAAGGGAAAAAGTGGGAGAATGAACATCAGTTTCGTGTTAGTAACAAACCTACAAGTCACGTAGAAGTTCCAAATCCCCCCCCCCCCCCCGGGCCGTTATCGAAATGGCGTGTTCAGAAAATTCTTCGTTAATGGCACACAACTTTTATGCGCAGTGTCGTGGCGAATTTTGAAAATATGAACTGTAAGGGCAGTTTAAAATTAAATCTTTTTCTGATAATTTTGATTTCGGAAAAACAAGTAGTATCATAAAGATTGTTGCCTTCTGGGTTTTGCGCCGCGTAGTTTGGTAGAATTTCACCGACGTTACTGCCATTATCACCAGGGAGATTGTCCTGATGGTGGCTGCAGTAGGTACCTCTGAAACGTCGGTAAACGTCTACCAGGCTTCGCGGCACTGCAACCCAGAAGACAAACATGATAAACTAAATTTTCACTTAGGCTAAGTAGTAATTATCTACATGTTGTATTTGTTTTAATCGAATAATGTTAATTAACGAAAATAACTGTATTTTAATCGGAGATCGAAATACGTCGTCATTAGTTCCCTCTGTGGTCGGAACCCCAAAAAATTGTTTCAAGGATACAAGGATACAATATTATGTGTTAAACACTGACATTTCAGACCACACATCTTGAAATGTTAACTTGTTCCTAATTGGGACTTCTATGTTGCTGTTCTTGCTACCTATGATAGATAGAAAATGGATCCTGAGGCAATTTGGCGAAACTTTTTGACTGATTTACAGCCCACTCCTGCCATCGTGTGGCGAGATCGGAAAGCTTGATATTCGTGTGGCATCAGTACAGCCAGTTCCAAATATTATGGGTAAACTGATACAATGTGGATTATCCTAATATTGGATTTTAAGTTTTGCTGTCTTATTACAAGATACGACAGTTAGGCAGAATTAGAAGACTTACTATCATTTAACTATCTCCAAAAGACAATTCAATGGAAAGATTGTATTTATTCAGCTGGTGAAACAACTGCCTGCTTCTGTGGAAGCCAGAAGTTCATCATCTTGCAAACAAAAAATATAATTGAGTTCTGCATCTTTGGAAGTAAATTCACTTAGAGCAAGGCTGTCTTTTATTTGTAATACCGTCTACATTATTTCTTGATATGGGCATTTCGGAACATGTACCTCAAGAATTTCATATTAATTTTACGAATTCTGACTGCACGGCTCATCATATCCTCCCTGAATTAATTACGCCGATATTATGTAGTGGAGATTAAAAATTATGAAGTAACATTTTATCGATTTCTGTACTTCTTCTTTCTTAAATCAAAATATTTTCCTCAGATTTCTATACTCAGATATATTCGTTCTGTGACTTCATATTAGAAAATGTATGGTAGCTTGCTTTGCCGTAAGATAACTTCATTAAGTCATTTTATATCTTTAAATACACAAAGTTCAAAACTATATATTTGAACGTTTTAGAACGGTTTGGTATTTGTTTATACGAATATTATTGACGAAATAAATACTATGCTACGAGACCTACTTTTTTCCTGATTCGAATTGGTGCTGACATGCACATAATGGACGTTTCATGTAAGTGCCATTTGTATTGGAATACAATAAGACACTAAACAGAATCTACATGGACACTGTTAAACTGACCACAGAATTTCTCTAGCGAATGGCCGATTATTATTCACATCGATGGTCTAATTTACGCAACCATAGTAGAATATAGTTAGGCATGTTGCGTTATGTCAAACTTCAGTCACCGCCTATAGACGGCTGGCTAATGATTGATTGTCAAATATTTATATGAGAAATTAAATGTAACAATGATTACTTTGTCCAGTCATCCTAATATTCTGTTGAACACAGTTAGAATTGGTTATTTAATTGGAGAGAGAATTATAGGTTATGTATTACTTTGGATTTTTTTTAGATATACCGATTATATCATGTGTGAAACTTCGTCGGTCAGTCTGACGAGCGAAAGGTCATAGGTTGAGGGTATTTGACAACAGCGTGACATAACGATGATTATAATAATTGCTCTTGTATCAAATCTTCGTGAGATTTAAGGTTCTCACGGCGACATGTATGAAGATATCTGTCGTGTGGGATGTTGAACAGTGTACTCTGGTAAATACTGAACGACGTTTCAGTTATGCATTCTGTCACCGTCATCAGGACGATGGTTTGTCGTCAGTCTACACGGCGGAACATCCCGCATGGCAGCTGTCTTCAAAGTGAAATTGGTTCAGCCAAACTGATTGAAACCTTCTCGGTAAAGACTTAAAACAATTTTGTTTTTGACACAGTATTTATATTCGTCCTTTTGACGTGGGTATTTGGTTATCCGCTAATGTAAGTACCAGCCGTGTGATGCCATAGTGTTATTACAATAAAAAATTGTAATATTGCTTTAGAGACTTTCAGGTGACGAAGGTTTACGAGCAGAAGGACTCTGTACAATCTTTCAATCCCAGCCAACAAGCTAAATTAATTTGCAATGAACAATGTATTTGAAAGTTCTCGGCTGGTCATGTTAATCTGTCACCGCAGATGTATTGTCTCCGTTTCTTCACAGCCAGTCAAGAAGCTACGATTTGTTACTGCGTTCTGACATTAACAGATTCCGGACTGCACAGCAACAATTTACGTGATTTGTATGTTGTGTGACCACTGCATTATGAATAATTCCATAATCATGCGGGCGTTTTTATTTTTTTATTTTTCGTATTTGCAACACGTACTGGTCCCCAGCTAGAGGCTATATTCGCTCAATTGAACCCCGTGCTAATCAGAATCACTGCCCGTGTTTACAAGTTGAATGATTAACAGTGAAATAAAGAATTACAATTCTGATAAAAAAAACACAACTTCGTTTTAAATTCCCGCATTGGTTTCACCTTCATGGTCACATAAAAAAGCAAATGATTCACCTTGAACTTAAAACCTGTTATGTTATTTGAAATATTTATTTATAGAGATCACACTTCTAGGCCTGTTATTTGATTCAAATTTTCTTCGTCCTATCGAAACGCAAAGGTCCTGTGCTTTAACAATTAATAAAATGTCGTTCTAGCTTTGTGTGCTTGTCCAGATGTAAATTTGCGGATTTTACCGAATCTCATTTCATATTTACTGCCTTTATCTTCAAGAGGAAACTAGAGACAAATACATTTGAAACGTCGGTAAATTTCTACCAGAAAACACGGTACTACAACACATAAGTCGGCCATATTTATATTCATCGCCATGAGAACCTGAAGTCTCACATAACGGTTTGAGGATCCAGCCGCTTTAATCCCGAATATGAGTCAAGGAATTTGGCTGTTATGGGGTGAAGAGAGTGGTTTTTGACCGTGCCTCGAATTGAACACTGGTCTCCAGTTCAGTAGTCCTTCTTGCTGATGAGTCAGCTGTGATAAGAAGGAAGCTCCGTCCTGAACCAGGTGCTGTGCAGAATTAGCCTAGAGCTGTACTCCTAGCCATGATTGCTGATAAAATGGAAGACACTTTTCCCCTTCCCTATAACGTTGTTAGAATAATAATATTTTAAAGGCTGTGCGTATGGCGGAGGAGCGCTGAGATAACCTGTTCTCCATTAACGACAAGAATTGCTGCCGCTTGCTATCTTCCTCTCTAAACTTTCATTGTGTTAATACTTTGAATATTATAATTTCCCTTATCAGTTGTTATAATTACCCTCTTCTCCTTCCTTCTCCTCCATCCCGCCCCCGCAATTCGAAAGGAACAGAATTAAGTTCGGAAATTCGAATCTTCTTCTCGCGTTGACTAATGTTGTAAAGATTTCATTGATACCAATCGAGTTTTAGGGTTATTTCATTAAGAATATTCTATTGCTTTTTGGTGTAGTAGGCTAGTGTATGTTCACCTCCTAAGTCGTGGAGGAGGCCCGTTGAATTTAATAGAAAATTTATGACACACGGAGTTAAAATTTATACGATCTGTAACTGAGAAGTGTTACACTTTCTTAGAAAATGGCGTTGTTGTTAAAATGTTTCTTTGATAATCAGGCTTAGATGGGAGAACGTGGACAGGATTCATCTGGCTCAAGATAGAGACCAGTGGCCGACTCTTGTAAGGAAATTAATGAACCTTCAAGTTGCGTAAAGAAACAGGAAGTTTGTTAATTAGCTGAACGAGAATTAAGAATAATAATATGTGAATTGAGAATGTCTTCGTATTGTAGGAATCTTCATTACAGTATTTCAAAGTTATAAATGTAGTATTATTATTGCTTATATGTTATCATAGAATCTAAGTCTAAGGTAATATGAGAATGATTTGAGGTTTTCACAGCGGTTGGTATGAAGATTTCTGTCTTCTGGGTTGTTGCGCTGTGTAGTCTGGTCGATGTTAACCAACGTTTCAGAGGTCATACTGCCTCCGTCATCAGGGCAATTTATACTACACGATGCAACAACCCAGAAGACAGAAATCTTCGTAATATGAGAAATTTCTACTAAATTTTTGTATGTTTGTGGAATTTATACCGACGTCCATCCCCACGATAAAGGATCATATGTTGTCGGTTGTCCTTAGATACTCCGCGTCTGCAGGCCGTCTTCTGTTGGTATTGGCGATGTCAGGCTATTCGCCAGAATTACCGTCCCTCCCACACCCTTCGCTTGTTTCAGTTTCTCTGTATCTTCTCTCTTCTTCCGAAGAGGAGCTTAGCTCCCGCTGGCAACAAGATCCAAGGATTAGCAAGACGCCACTGCGAACTACTTGCTCTATCCTCTTTTACGTGTCCCGGTTCTGCATACGTGATCAACCCCTCGGTGCCTGAGTAGGTGTGTAGAACTCTGCGTCCGTTTATGGCTAACTAACTGACGAGCACACGTGCTGGACATCACACAAGTCGGAATAACTGAGACGTAGCCTTCTTGTTACTTAAGCACTTCAAGAATAGGCATCAGTAATACTTAACCAACTTATTGATTAATCAGTCGGTTATATAATAGACTGACATATAATAATTAACTGACGAACTAAGTGTTAAATCATTTTTCTCCATCTATGTCATTAACTAATTATCGGAACATTTGGGTGATTAACTAGTTAACTGAATGATTAACTAGCCAATTAGTCCTAAGTAATTCATTGGTAAAAAACTGTTAATTATATGTAAGTCTAAATAATTAACTGCTGGTAGTTAATTTCTTAGGTCGCAGATCTGCAATTAATTGGCTAACTAAATTATCATCTGACTTGTAGTTTTCTTGGTAACTTATTTACGAAGTAACTAAGTAAATAATTAAGTTATTGATTGATTGTTTGACTTAAGTTATATAATTGTCTGATTAACTAACTGACGAAACAGTGATTAATTAAACGGGTGAAGATATTGAGTAATTTATTAAGAAACCATAATTTAATGACTTAGTAAGTATTGAATTTATCAATTAAAATATCTGGTATATGAATCCGGAGGTTCAACATTGCTAATGCCAAATTAAGACCTACGAACTAATAAGTCATTTCGGGTGCAAATAATTTATTACCAAGAAGGGTAATAAATATAGGCTTGCTACTCAGAAGAAAAAAAACAGTCTACATCAACGTGTCGCTTTATTTCCTCTGCTGTTTGCTTGCAGAAGTCCCACACAGCCTAAAGCTCATATTTGTTTCAACATGGCAGCGTTTTCTTTACGCATTGTCTGAATGGAACATATATACGAAGATGGCCAATTAAGGTCGATATATGTGGTGGATTTTTAATAAACATTGAAACTGTAATAAGAATTGTTTTGTAGACGGACTGCTAACTTAACGAGTGTGAATACACGAAGTTTTAGAGGCTGGCACAATATTTCATTTCAGGTGAAGTGATAATGTATATGCTTTATTGGTCCCAATAGATGAAAATATTCTTTGTTACTAGAACAAGATTGATTTAACGGGAATCACAGGCGTTTACTTCCCTTCTACCTGAAGACGGAGAGATTTTTCACTCGCAACGTCGCAAATTCATTTTACACAGGCAGTATCTCAAAGAAAATTCTTCCATGTAAATCACACACTGTGATCACAAACTACAGTCGGAAGGTTAGTTACGTCAGCTACTTGGCTAGTTAATAGATTTGTTAATCCCTTAATTATTATCTATTAATACAAAATATTGGATGAGACTCGAATATGTCTAGCATGGTCTGGTCCTGCGATCTTAAGGTCGAGGACAGACAGACAGTTTGGAAGACAAGCTCGACGTAGAATGTTCTTTCTCTTGGTGCCATAATCCCTGTGACTTGAACTTGGATAAGGGGAAGTCAGCGTCAGACTTATCAGCTTAATGCGCCACAGGAAGTAGTTCTACAACATTTTACTCAGAACCTCTTGTAGATATTAAGCTGTTTCAGTTCCATAACTTGAAGACTAGAAAAGAATAAGATTATGCTAATTTTACGGCAGCTTCAAACTTCGTTGGAATTTAAAAGTATGATACTTATTTTTTCGAGCATTAAAACGAAGGCCTGTCTTAAGAACTGTATAGTCTTTATGAATGCAACATTTGCGACGTCGTATTAAAACTCATCTTGTCGTTTAAACTGTTCAACCATTTGAATCCAAGCTCATCTAAATAATATTTAATAATTCAGTCCGTACTTCAAAGAAAACACAAAGCATCTCCGTTACAAGGATGAGATGATTAATGTTGCTTAAGTAAATTATTTTGTTTATTCTGAAAATCGTATGAAACTCATAAATACGCCGCGTGGGCAAAATACAGATTTATTTTTTCTTAAATTATGTGGTATATATAGTTACCACTGTGTTTTAAAGAATTAAGTGGAGTTTTATAAATTGTACCCTTCATCTGTATTGTGGTAAGCAGTCAAGATTGAAGAGATGGTCAGGACATTTAGAACTAATGCTGAAGATGAAAAATGCATATAAATTTTGATTTCGAAAATCTCAAGTTAAAATAACACTTACGCGATCTGTCCGTCGACTGGAGGACAATATTGAAGTGGGACAAAGAGGAATAGTGTGGATTCAACCTTCTGTGTAGACTGTGCAGTTTAACGACAATAGTTGTTTATATTAATAAATGTTGTTCACTTCTTATGCGTATTTCTGTAGGCCTATGAGATAGGCCTAAAGACATTACTGACAGGATAACAGCCTATATTCAAAGAAGCCAGTTCAAATCCTCAGCAATTTGTTATTCAGTTTCATATCGTTATGTATCGTTAGATATATTCGTGTTACGAATGACATATGTCTCCTTGAAATCAGTCTTTCTTTCCGAAATTATTTTTTGTGTTTTACGTTATCTGTGAAAAGAAACTGGGTTTGACGTCACTTTGAGATTAAGAATGGCATTTTCCCACCCACAAAATAAATTCATAATCTGTAATGAAAATATAACAAGAGACGTTCTAATGTTGGAAATCTCGTCAGTGACTGAGTGAAATAAAGAATAAAAGTAGTTGAAGAAAATTTGTGTTTTGTGGCACTGAAGAAAAAAGTGTATTTCTGATGAAAATCTCAAAATATAAAACAAAGAAGCAAAGAGTAAACGAAGTTAATGAAAATTTGTTTCGTGGCATCTTTTGTTAAGCAAGAGCGTTTCTCTCAACTGAAATTTTCTGTATGGAGAGGATAAATTATATCGATAAAGTTAATTTAAAGTAGTTGAAGATAATTACTGTTGTGGCACTTGTTAATAGTAATCCCTTTTCAATGTTCTCAGCCGTTCATAAGTAAGGTTTTAGACCAGGCTACATACTGTTTTTCTCGACTTGGAATTTGTAATTACCCATAAATTTCGGTTAAAACCCTCCGAGGTACAAATGCATGAGCAGTTACCAGCTCATGTCGTAACTAAAAACCTCTTAAAATTCTGAGACTGCAATTTTTCAACCATAATTTTTGGAGACTGTAGGAAAGCCAGTACGTGACGTGGTTTTAATGTTCCCCCTCCCCCTCCCTCACTGCTTCTGCTTCTTTCCCACCTTAACTGCTCTCTGCGCACTTGCTTTAAGCAAGTCTCTATGATTTACAACCAAGCGGAAAATAAATATTCATATATCAAACCGTTTGCTTATAAAATCAGACGAATCATTTACACAAACCGGCTGGAAAATATAAATCAAAATGTAGATTTAAAATCAAATTATACTGTTTATACCTACTCGTAACTTACCTTTATTTTATCAAATTAAGGGGTGTGAAATAAGGGTTGAAACAGTTGCGCCTGATTATGAAGCATTTTAGTGTGTGAGAGGGCTCTAATATCTCATATTCATCCATAACTCCCACTTTCTTTCTCTGAGTCGCATTAAGAGATAAACTCTAATTGCTGCTGCATTTCACTTTATAGGCCTGTGGCGCTGGTGAATCGTTCAACGGTGCTCAGGTGGAAAAGAAACCCCCATTGTGCCCTGTTCTGAGCCAGTTGAATCCAGCACACAGCTAGCAGTATATTTCACTTTAGAAAACTTATTATTCTACCATTGCGCCCTGGTATCCTAACAGGTCCCTTCCCATTAGCGTCACCGGCTAAACTTACGTATGTTTCTCGATTCCCTCAAGCGTGTTTAACCGATTATCACTTACCGCTTGTTCTGATTAACATTAAAATGACTTCAGCATCAATAACGTGTAGTAGCCTCGCTTAAACCTTTTATTCGATAGGACATTGTGCGGAATCTTGGCTCGGAGATAGGATATCCTGTTTATTAGTGGTGTTCCTCATTTCCGAAAAGAAAATCCAGATACCACTTCATAATAAGTTAAAACTACTCTTTCTTAATTATTATGATTATCAGTTCTGTTTAATATTTGGGGGATCTTGAGTTCAAGTCTGCCCGGAGATAGTCTACCTTGACTGAGGATTTTTGTAATAAAACTTATTGGAAAACTGAATAATAAAAAGGTAAACCATGTTCTCCCCCACAACCCTACAAAAAGAACTAAGAAACTGATTCTATGTTGTGGCCTTTCGGGTTATAACACCCCAGTGACGGAGGCAGCAGGTTTTTGTGAAATATTTAGTAACCACATGCGATACTGCAAGATGTTGTAACCCGGAACACAAATTTAAATTATCACCATAGATTTCATAAAGTTACGTGTCGGAGTGCGTAGTCTTTCATGTTTCAGAAAGTGTCACCCCGAGCGCGTAGAGAGGAATTTCGTCTAAGAAAGTGTTTGTAAATGTTTGTTTGAGGTTTCTTTCTTATCATCTCGCCTCGGCGCTCTGCGTCCATCTTGCCGCTCCTGGCGTCTGGAAGAAGTATTGAACGAACTTCAGAGGGCTGAGCCGCGTCGTACCTTGCAAACGGGTGGAGGGGGGATCAATGCTCTAAAGTGGAGGGGAGAGAAGAGATGAGGAGGGAAGGTGGGTTGGGGGAGGAAGTAGTGGAAGGGAGCTGAAGGATGTTCCGACTGAAAAGGAACGGACGAAGCAGAAAAGAGCTTTTAGTCTTCTTCGTCTTCCTTCCCACTTGGATGTTGCCGCCATGTTGAATTGATGATACTGCTGATGTTCGTTTCTTCTTTATTTCTGCGTGATCTGAAAGACGAAGAACAAGTAGACTCTAATTACTGTGGTGTACAGACGATGTACGCAAATTGAATATAATATTCAGCACAGATTCTTGAGAGACGCGTATAAAATGTTGGTTTAATTTCACTGGTGACTTTTAATTCTGACGTGGATATTTTTGAGTTCTTAAAGCTGTATTTTTTATTACAGCAGTATTATTCATGTAGTGGGCTCCTTTATGTAGCAAAACTATATGATTGAAGGATTTAAGAAAACGTAGGTTACACAGAATTATTTAGAACATTTTAAAAACACTCGTTCATCTACCTTATTACATGTTTCTAGAAGCAGCACTACGTTTCTTCGAATCTGATGTTTAGTGTGTTGCCTTAGGGTGTACGACGATTCTGCAAATCGATAGAACGAAATAATGCTACCTATTCCATTCTTGTACCTCCGATGCTGAATATCTATTGTTCGCCAATTGTGTGTAGCCTCCGTGTTGTGGAATAACACTACGAGTTTTACAGCGTTTCATATCGTTGGCCTATCGCAAAATTTCGTGATTGTGGCTATACTGAGTGAAACAAAACTGTTTAATTTATAGTTAATATGCAAAGCTTATAGTATGCATAATGCAATACATAGGAATTTTTTTTTATAGATTTCACTCTGATTACAATGACGGTGACAGGTAATAATGGCAGACACAATATAATATTAATAAATATGAATATAAACTTTATGGTCAGTACAGTCCATAACCGCGTAACCTATAGATCCATTTTAATATTATTTTCCCCATGTTGTATGTCCGATTCTCCTACGTACTTTTCCCCGTGAGGTTTTATGTAAAAACTTGGTATGTATTTCTCGTTTACGCAGTAAGTGCTACATGACTCACTAGCCATATCCTCGTTATCTTATTTACCGAGTGTAAATTGAAATCTCTTCAAGTTCAAACCTTTTTCTCAGTACTGTATTTTGAAACATCCTCAGTCTGCTTTGTGGTCATACGTACGCGAAACGGCAATCAGATAATATTTACTTTATTTTAATCGTTTCATAGAAGAAAATCTTTCCTTTCACAAATATAGTTTACGTAACCTAGTTCCAGAGTCGTGTTTAAGGACCGATAACCACAATTTCCCTAGTAAAAATGGTGTTCATTTAGGATAAAAGGAATGTGGTGATTTAAAGGCGAAATTTAGGTCTGTGACGTGTTTGATTTAGAAATTAACGTTTTATCTTTTTCTTAATCGAAGTGTAACAGAACATAAAGTAACCTTTTTAGTGAAGTGTTTTGGGAAATCAGCCAACAAAATATTTTGTTATGTGGGTCAACAAGTGATTTATACTCTCGCTGCATGTGTTTGATGTTTTATCACAAAAACCTTTCCTTTTTGACAACAACGTTTTAGAGAAACCCCAGATATTTCCGGATTCGGGGTGTGTGTGTGCAGTTGGATTAGTAAATATTCTTTTGATAGTTTTGTCACGAATTTGTCGTTAAGAACATACAATTTATTTCTGTTCATAAACACAGCGTGGATAGTTTTTTTAACTTGAGAACAGATGGGTCTCGTCTTTCTGTCATGTCTGCTGCTTGAAGATTTAATCGAAATTTCTTAATTAACAAATTTTCCCCAGTCACCAAAATCACCCATTCTTCAAATTTCTTGTAGGAGTTAAAAACAAATCTTGTAGTTTGTCAGGAACAAAGGAATACGACGTTAGTGGGGGACAAAAACTTGAAACGAGACCGTTTTATAATCTCTGATGCCATTTTGTACCTTATCCAACTATGGAAATCGTATTCTTGGTTATACGAAGAAACAAAAACGAATTATTGATGTTAACTACTAGAACCCTTAAAAGCAACCATTTGCTTTTTATTGCGTGTCTGTTCAGATGACCTCGCACAAAAAAGCAATTTCACTGTCAAAATTTAAACCATAAATTCTTTGCTTTCAGTTGGCACCGTTTCCATTACAGAAGATCCTAAATTTGTTTCTGCAACGTCCCATCGTATTTTAGATCTCTTAATGTGGTAAATGAAAATGGAAAACATGTTAATTTATATTTGGCTTTGATTTCAACGAAGATATTGTGCTTACAAAACGTCATTATTAAATGTTTAATTTCTTTTACGCCAGACTAATGACGTAGAAGCTGTAACAACGATACCCAATGTATTATTTAAGATGGGAACAGTTCTTATATTTCTTTATGTAGTCAGATCGTCAGAAACGGATCTAAAAAATTGTATTTTAATTCTTGACGACACTGTATCAACTTTAACAAATTTTAATTGGCTCGAGATCAGATCTGTTGTTTCCGCATAGAATGTCTGGACATATGTGAGAAAGGAATATTATTTTTGTGACGAAATTTGATTTCAGAAAATAACATGAAGGAGAGACCAACATTTATGTAAACATAAAAACTGGTATATGAATATGTGTGGTGTAGGTTTTATTGTTAATAATTCAGTATCTCAAGGCTACGAAGTTAAATTGTGTAGACATTGTCCGACGTTTCAGAGGAGGCTACAGGATTTGTCATTCAATATCTACACGTTGAAACATCTCAGAAGACAACCGCATTGTACATTTTGCTGGTTCAGTTTTTAATCGCTTGCCTGAAATTTCGCCGAAAACAGGTGAAGTTTATTTCAGATGGGGATGAACCAAAGAGACTCACGTCGCTGTGACTCCGTAAGTACGTGGTTCGAATCTCGGTCGGACCACGGTCGAAAGGTTTCGACCATGGGTCTGACTACGCCCAATTGAACTAGGGAATAACTGTCTTCTTCTAAATGTATTTTTACTCGCAATTCATGATCGACATCCCATCTGCAGTTGAGTCGACAACGTTAAATAAACTACGAATTAGTCACAATTTATTTTTCTGGGATGAAATTTTATGCTATCTTCTCGACTGGTTTCTGAGATGAACCATAATTTTCTCAGATATTTGAGGTTTTTACAGTAATGAAGATGGAGGCAATATATTCCTCCGAAACACTGGTAACTATTTATAAGACCACACGGCGTCATAACCCAAAAGAACATCCTTCCATAATCGTCATTTAAGAGCATTGTCGTATTTAGGTTACATGGTCTTTGCTATTGCATCATTTTCGTTAAATGAAGAAGACTTAGTCTTTGAAATGCATTACCCAAGTTTGGGGATGTACTGAGCAAATACACGAAGTATGTCAGTAAGCAAAGCCTGCCAGGGATTTGGAATACGAACTACGTGGTCTTCTCTCAGAGATCAGTTACCTCGTTATCTCAGTGAACGTTCTCATTTGAGCAATGTGATATGTGGGGATTCTTTCTGTCTCTCGTGGTGCTAGTGGATCGTCTGAGGGTGGGGTAGGAGAAGGGGTGAAGGGAGTTAAACCTTAGCTACTTTGCCGGGACTCTCTCTTGCGAGCAGCCACCGCGGCGTTTGTCTGTGGTCACGTTTGTGGGCGAGATGCAGCCCGTTGAGGGGCAGAAGCATTGCATTCTGTCCAGGCAACAGAATTACTGCTTCGGGTTCTTGTAAGGAGCTGCCTGCTTCCATGACTTCGGCTCTAGTTGGAGGAGAGTGGTCTGTATTTTTAACTCAGTACCCATCGGTAAGGTGACGGGCTGGTTTCGGAGCTTCTCTGGACGTGACGTGACGAAGACGACTCGGTGCCAGTATCAGGAGTCGATGTCCTATCCTCCAGCCTGTAAGACTAGTTAGTCATCTCACTGACTGCGCTATCTGTATGCAGATCAGTAGGTATATTGTAGGCGTTGTTGGATTCGGCATTCAGAATTTACGCAGCCAACGCTACTGTTAATTAGTCTACATTCTTTTCGGTTCTACAAGATGGTAGAGATTAAATGACAGATTTTTCAGAATATGTGTTTAAACATTTTTAATTGACTTAATTAGATTTATATGAATACCAACTAAAATTTTAATGTTTTGTAATACTTGATGAAATCTCAGGTTGTCACAGCGCTAGTGTAAAGATGTCTTCTGTGATGTTGTGGTCCGGTAGAAATTTACAGACGTTTCAGAGATGCTTATTGCATAAATGCAGTAAGCGCTTCTGAAACATCCCACAGAACAGTCATATTTGTGCAAAACTTCTCAAAAGTCATAAATAAGTTCCATTCTACTGTTGTGCGGATTACTATTTTATCTACTACAAACTACGTGGTAGAAAAATTCCAAGACAACGCGTTCGAGGTAGACCGGCAACTTCTCGCTGCATTTTGTCGGCCAAATGTTCCGCCGTTTATAAACATCTGCTGTTAACGCTTCGCACCAATAAACCGATGGAAGAGACACGCTTTGATTAGCTAATCTTCTTCCTGTTTGTTACATACTGCATTACCTAATGTTGCACTACGAGACAAAAGGTCCCACCCAGAAGATGCATCTAGCAGCTGGTGCCCAAACACTTCGGCGTATAACTTACGAGTATATGAACCCACTCTTTCTTTTGCAAAAATTTATAACGTATGGGTCGGGGGAGTTAATTGTCCAGGTGCTTTAAAATGAA